TGTATTTATTCCTGTTAAAAAAAAGTAATAAATATGGAGTATGTGTCAAAGAACTGATTCAACCAAAAGCTCAAACTTGTGGTTATGTCCAGAAAAAGTTATTTATATTCTAATAGTATCTAATTAAAAAATATAAAATAAAATATTTCTATTTAAAAAAAATAAACCAAAGAACTCTTCCTACGATAAAAATCACATTCACATTGAAAAAACAAAAAAAAATGTTATACGGAGTATTTAATTTGTGCAGTATATATCATTATAAAAGAAACTTACCTTAATTTTTGTTTAGCTATATTCTAGCATGCTTGTTATAAATAGCAAGGTATTTTCATTTTTTAGCAAGCTAGTCAAATTTTGAATAACCCTTTGGAGCATGAAATTTTGTATATGCTTGTCAAATTATAACATATAGCAAGTCATTTGGCTATGGTTGGAGATGCTCTTAGTCTGTAAAGAAAGAAATATTTAGAAAGAGTTGGAAGATGATACTCCCTCCGTCCCAAAAAAAATTTACACATTTTAAAAGATTGTATCACACAATCCCTTACCCATTTCTATTAAAAAACCACTTTTACCCCTTACTTTTTCAAACCCTACCTATAACATTATACCTTTTTTTCTAATAATCTACACATCACATCCTACTTTTAAATACAACCTATTAAAGAAATATTTAGAAAGAGTCTGGGCAAATATTGTGAATCAATATTTTTTTAAAAAAAATAAAGAATTAGCACACAAAATTTAAAATGGCACTAGAAACAAGACACGGAACAGCCATTTCCCAAAACCGATGAACGTTAACACTATGTTTGCTTCAAGGAATTCGGATAAAAAAGAAAAAGAAAATAGTTTTCTCCCATTTTTCTTACAGAAAGGAAAGGAATTTTGTTTTCTCTTCTCTTAGTACATTTTGTCTTCTTATTTTCTTTTCTTTCCAATTTTTCATTTCTTTTCCTCTCTAAAGAAACAAGAAAATTTCTTTTCCATCTGATTTTCTTCTCTTCTCTTTCAAAATCTTTGAACCAAACATAGTGTAACTGCAATGGCGGAGGAATATAATAATTTTTAACTCAGAAAATTATTTTAAAAATTAAATAAATATCTACAAATCGTAAAAAATACTTTATTCTTAAGAGATTGTCACAGTTTGACTATTTTGGTCAAACAGTTGCATCATTTGACTATAAATTATGAAAAAATATAATTTAGTTATAATGTTAATTTGTAAAATTGAGTTTATTTTAAAATTGAGTTAATTTGGTTAACTTGTAAAATTTGTATTTAGTTATAATGTTAATTTGTAAAATTGAGTTTATTTAAAATATAATTTTAAAATATCACATTTTTATAATATTAAATTATTGTAAACAATGTTTAATTCATAGTCAAAATCTATTACAAATTGACCAAAAAAGATAGCAATCTTTCAAGACAGAGAGAGCATGAAGTAATGCCAAATACTCTGTATATTTTAGAAGTAACGTTGAATCATCTAAAATGTGGCGTCAATTATTGGGCTTGCATTTTTGTCTCGAGTCATAGCCTCTTGGGAATTGAGTGCATTTTTATCTGTTGTTGTCCCAAGAGATACTTTCTCTTACTTAGGGATGACAACGTGTCGAGTTCGGTCGGGTTTGAATATATTGAAACTCGATTTGATTTTGTTCGAGTTCGGATTTGATTTTGACGGGTCGGTTTCAGATATTTATTTTTCGTTTCGGATTCGGTCGGGTCAATTATGGTCAAATTCAGGTTTGAAAACTGAAAATTAAAAATTTTTAAAGACGGCTATAAATTTAAGATATTAACAAAAATAATTATGATCCTTAAAAAAATAGTAAGTTTCAAATAATAATATACGAAGTACAAAGAAAATAACACGTGTATGACACACAACACTAAACCACAATAAAAATGAAACACAAAAAATGCAATAAGTTTTAAAACATTAAAAACATGTACATCAAAAATACATGGAATGTAGGAATTTAGGGTTTTAATAACTTATTAAAAGTCGGGTACATGTCAGGTCGGATCGGGTACAAGTCGGGTCAGTCAAGTATACTAACCCAAACCCGACCCGACAAAAGTCGGGTTCGGTTTAAATTTGTTTGGATTAGTTTCGGATATTTGATTTTTTGGTTCGGATTCGGATATAACAAGCTTCGGTCGGGTCGGTAAAAGTCGGATTCGGGTAGAATTGCCATCCCTACTCTTTCTAGAATACTCATTTGTTTAATTTGATTCTTTTAGTTGAACTTGCACATAATTTAATCATCAATTAAATAAAAAATATCGTATATAAATGAAAATAATTTTATTTTAGTATTAACATAATACACGTTCCATCCTAAAATAAATTATACTCCCTCTGTCCCCAATTTAATTAAAAATTGGGGTTTATGAGAAGAAATATTTCACTTTTTGAAATTATTTTATTTACAAATTAGTATATCAATAAGAAATAAAAATTACATATTAAAAACCTACGTCAAAAGTTCTACAAAACAAAAGGTGACAAGAATATTTTATTTTATCAAATATTTAATGAAGTCACGTAATCAAATAAAAGGTATCGAGAGGAGTGAAAAAAATGTAATCTAATTGGGGACAGAGGGACTACTATTCAAACAAAGTGCAAATCGTACAAACCCTCATACAATATCTTTCAAATTAATTTTGCAACAAAATTAGAGTTTAACAAAATAAAAGATGATGTACAATACATTACCTTTCCAAAGACAAATTGAAATATACAAAAAATAAAATAAAATTTATCGAGATGTCAGAATAATACTCGATAAAATTTAGTTCATTATACTCCCTCCGTTCCACAAAACCATTCCCGTTTTGACTTTGGGCAAAAATAAGGAAAGTGTAATTTTGATTGATTTTCCAATTTTGCCCTTGATGTGATGAGAAAAAGTAAGAAGTGATTGTTTGGTTATTAGTGAAAAAGTATGATGTGATAGGTAGGGTATGAAAAAATAGGGGTAAAAGTAGTATTTTAATAGAAAGTGAGAGTGTTTTGTGAAAAACAAAAAAAACGAAAAGGAAAGGGTTTTGTGGAACAGAAGAAGTATATGTTTGTCTAAATTAAATGCAAATAGTAAAATTAGGCGAATACTAATTAATTACTAGGAGTGATTAGATGGACATGTAGAACCTAATACCAACAAGATCATGCATTATATTTTTGGGCTTTTAATTTTGAGTACGACAAGTCGAAGAGGCTCCGACTAGGATCCTTATCGTTTTCATTTTGGGCCATCATAATTAATTGCATGCATGCATGCATTTCTATATTCAGTGATTCCCTAATTAGCTTTTAGACTTCGTGACTTTTGAGCAAATTAAAGGTCTTTTTTTTGTTCATTTTTGTGTTGAAAATGTCAAAATGATTTCTATTAAAAGTATTTGGTGAAAACGCTCGAGGTGCTATTAAACATATTTGGTGAGCAAATTTTTTTTATCCTCGAACATTGGATTTCAAAATTCATGTTTTTCAAGTCTTTCTAAAGATAACATTTGGAAAAAATTCACCATAAATACCTTTAGATACCTACAAGGAAAAAATACTAAAACATTAAAAATGTATCAAAATAAGACTTTTATATTTATTCACAAAATAAGAGCTAAAATGCATTTACATTATCAAACATGGTCATGTAAAGTATTAGTAATTAATGTGAATTAATGTGCCACATTATTACAGTGTGAATTACTATTTCGAGAATAAAAATATAGAATTTTTTTTATATTTTTTCTACTCCCTCTGTCCCTAAATAAACTTCCGTTTTTGACTTTTTGAGGATTTAAGAGAGGGATATTTTTGTGTTGACTTTCCAAAAATACCCTTGATGTGATGTGTAAAAGTAAGATTTGATATGTAGATTATTACTCCGTAGTAAAAAGGTATGATGTGATAGGTAGGGTATGAAAAAGTAAGGGGTAAAAGGGTTTTTTAAGGGAAAATAGAAGTTTATTTGGGGACAAAGAAAAAACGAAAGAGGAAATTTATTTAGAGACAGAGAGAGTATGTTTTAGTCTTATTTGGAGTATACTTTTATAACTTCACTCTCACGTTATTGCATGACCATTTATTTTTAATCCACTTGTAATTGATGAGCTAATATGGACAATACGGAGTATATAACATTAAATTTTTTTTAGAACTTCACTCTCACGTTACTGCTCTGGTCCCATATAATTTTTTATTAACCTAGTGTTTTAACTAAAATTTTAATTGCATATATAAATTTTGAAAATATTAACTGTTTGATAATATTTTTAAAACGCTAACGCAAATTTTTTATTAACCTAGTGTTTTAACACATCTGTATATTTTAAATATAAAATTGCTTAAATAGCAGGAAGATGAAGAT